CATGCGAGAGGTACGGTGATTGATACCCCGCATCATTACTATGTAATCTTCATGCTTTGCACGGTATTCGTTACAAAAATGTGTTGAATCAAATTGTATAATATTTTGATTTTCAAATGCTTTTTGTTTTTTAAATTATAGGTATTCAATGAAGTGTTTTTCATTATGGGGATGTAGCTCATATGGTAGAGCATTCACTTTGCATGCGAGAGGTATGGAGATGGATACCTCGCATGATGCTAGAGGTATGGAGATTGATCCCTCGCATCACTAATCCTAATATAATCTGCAAGCTTTACACGGTGCAAATTTGTCCCAAAAATCTTGAGTTCTGAATCGGATTGTATACTATTTTAATTTTCAAAGTCGAGTTTTGAATCGAATCGTATACTATTTTAATTTTCAAAGTTTTAAAAGTCGAGTGTTAAATCAAATCTTAGGTGCAAATTTGTTCTAAAAATCTCGAGTTCTAAATCGAATTGTATACTATTTTAATTTTCAAAGTCGAGTTCTGAATCAAATCGTATACTATTTTAATTTTAAAAGTCAAGTGTGTTGAATCAAATCTTATAATATTGTAATATTCAAATGTTTTTTGTTTTTTGTTTTTTTCTAAATTACAGATATTTAACGAAGCATTTACGATTATGCGGATGTAGGTCATATGGTAGAGCGTTCACTTAGCATGCGAGAGATATGGGGATTGATACCCGTATGTAGTCCGCAAGCTTTACAAGGTGTAAATTCGTTACAAAAATGTCGAGTTTTGAATCAACTTGTATAATATTTTAATTTTAAAATGCTTTTTGTTTTCTAAATTATAGATATTAAATGAAGCATTTTTCATTATGAGGATGTAGCTCATATGGTTGAGCGTTTGCTTTGCATGTGAGAGGTACGGGGATTGATGCCTCGCATCTCTAATCCGAATATAATCTGCAAGTTTTACATAGTGCAAATTTGTTTCGAAAATCTCGAGTTTTGAATCGAATCGTATGCTATTTTAATTTTCAAATTTGAGTGTTGAATCAAATCTTATAATATTTTAATTTTCAAAAGCTTTTTGTTTTCTAAATTATAGATATTTAATGAAGCTTTTACGATTATGGGGATGTCCCTCATATGGTAGAGCACTCGCTTAGCATGAAGGTCCAAATTAATCTTTTAGACAAAGCTCCCATTTTTAATAAAACGACCACGCATATATATATATATATATATATATATATATATATATATATATATATATATATATATATATATATATACATATATTATAATAAAATTAATTATAATAATTATATATAAAAAAAAAAGTCAACGACCCATGTATTATCATATTTTTACAATATTACGCAAACCTTAATAGTATAGGAGTCGTCGCAAGAAGTTAAAATGCAGTATTTTTTTTTATATATAATGTAGATAATAATAATAATAATAATAATAATAATAATAATAATAATAATAATTATTATTATTATTATTATTATTATTATTATTATTCATTTATATTATTATTTAATTTTTTATTATTGGTTTTGTTATTATTTTATAAAATTTATTTTATTATTGCATAATAATAATAATAATAATAATAATAATATTATTATTATTATTATTATTATTATTATTATTATTATTATTATTATTATTATTATTATTATTCTTTTATTCATTTTATTATTGTTTTGTTTTTGTTGTTGTTATTGTTGTCGTTATTATTATTATTATTATTATTATTATTATTATTATTATTATTATTATTATTATTATTATAAATTATAAATTTTATTTTATTATTGCATAATAATAATAATAATAATAATAATAATAATAATAATAATAATAATAATAATAATATTGTTGTTGTTGTTGTTGTCGTCGTCGTCGTCGTTGTTGTTGTTATTATGAATGCCATTATAACAATTCATTAGATTAAATTTCCATATAAAATTTTGTTACCGATTAAGCTTTATTAATTTTTTTATCAATTAATTAATATTCATATTAGTTTGAGCGGGGAAGTTAAAGATGATGATTTTACTTTTATTAATAGTATAGAGTATATGTTATTAATAGTATAGATGATGATGATTATTATTATTATTATTATTATTATTATTATTATTATTATTATTATTATTATTATTATTATGATTAATTAGTAATTTTAATCTACAATTGTATTAGGAATAGGAAAGTCGGAAAGAATATATTGTATTAGGAATTGTATTACCATATTTTAATGTACAATTGTAGTACGAATAGAAATTGTATTACCATATTTTTACAATATTATGCAAACCTTAATAGTATAGGAGTCTTTTGAGCGGGGAGTTAAAATGGAGAATTTTGTTTTTATATATAGTATAGATATATATTTTAAATTTTAGAATTAAGGGAAAATTTCACTTTTCGTCCCTAAGTTATAGGGTAATTGTAGAATTCATCCCTGAGTGTTAGTCATCCTCACTTTTCATCCCTAAGTTAACATTGGCGTTGCACTTTTCGTCATTTCGTGCTCACTTTCATCCCTTAGTTATACTAAAATTGCAAATTTCATCTCTAATGTTTTATTAGTAAAGGGACGAAACGCGCAACGTAAATGATAACTCGGGGACAAAAATGAGTATGACCAACACTTAGGGATGAATTCTATAATTATCCTATAACTTAGGAACGAAAAAAGTGCAATTTTCCCTAGAATTAATCTCCAGGTTAATGGTCGTCTGTTATGAAAGTTACACAAACTAATTTTATTATCAGTATAAATACTATTATAAATGCTATTTATCCTCCCTTCTCCAATATAAGTTGTAGTTGAGCAAATGATTTTACATACTGAAAAATTAGTTTCCTCCTCTCGAAATTCTGCTCAACTTTCTCTTGAAACCCTCATGTGTTCATCCGTGTTCTAGTTTGTTGGGCTCATTTGTTTGAGTGCTCAAACATTGAGTCATAGTACGTTTTATCCTATGAAACCTAGGCTACAACACTCCTAGCACCTTTGGGAGGTAGCAAATAAGGTTTTAAGACTAGGTATCGAACTTTGGGAGTGGTTCGGTTGAAAATCTAGAGAAGTTCAACGGATTGAACTTCAAGAGGTGACAGCAAAAGATTCTTGACCGAGAGGCTTGGCAAGGTTCTTGACCGAGAGGGTTCCTAAGTTAAAGGAACAGGATGTTTAATTCGTGATAGCGGTTGGCATGTGGAAGGATTCTGACTTCCTGTGCGCGTTTGCCGGTCGGGAAGTGGTAGTTGATGAGTTCGAAGTAATGCCTTGAAGGCGGGAAGAAGAGGAAGAGGGGTTATAGGTGGAAGACATTGAAATATAAGGGATGATGGCTAATCTTGAAAAGAAGTGAAGAGAGAAGGTGATTGGAAAGTTGGACGGAAATTGGACAGAGAGGATGACCGGAGGCTGAAGTTGTGGTCGTCGGAAGGGAAGGGAAAGTGGAGAAAACACCGGGAAGGTTGGAGAGCGGTGGAAGTGAAAGTGAAAAAAAAAAAAAAAAAAAAAAAAAAAAAAAAGGGGTGGGGGTGGGGGGGGGGGGGGGGATGAAAATGAAGGGGGTATTTATAGAGAAGGCCGGGTGCTTAGATTGTGAAACGTGACATTCATCTGACGGGTGGCAGACGGGTGATGCGACAGTTATATTAGGATAAATTTTCAAAAATGTAACCAGCCGAAAATGTGGAGGCGTATTTAATATGCATCATTTATGGTAACCCTTGCGGAACCAGTTAGGAAAATCGGAACCAGTCAGGATCCATAAGAAGTTAGTGTGATTATGGCTGCAACCTTGGCCTTAGCTACACTACAAGATTAATAAAGGAGTGGGGAATCCAACCTGCAGTCAGCACTCAGGTTCTTGGGTTCTGCACCCTCCGTAGGCTTACTTTTCCAAGTCGTCACCTTGCTAGATCTCAGATAAGTGAGGGACTAGTGATGGATACCCCCAGTAGGGTACCCAATCAGGTGTACCCCTAGGTGGTCGAAAGGTTACAATCTGATTACTCTGATTACTTGCTTGGAGGATGGGGAGCTTCAACATCCCGGCCTCGATCCACCTGAGTAGCTTATCGGCCGACCTGGTTGAGCGACTAGTGTAGGCAATCATAGGGGTCCCGACCAGTTGCCACTTCAAAGGTTGTGGAAGGATATTTGGTGGAGATTATATTCTTTCCAATTATGGCGCGGGACTCCTTTTTCAATATTAGGATGTGAACATAGCAGTTTGGAAGTTTTTCAAAGTTCAATTTTGTTAATTTCTTCCTTCTTTTTTTGTTTAAGGCCCATGAATCTTGTATAAATACCCCTTGGGGTCACATTATAAAGAGCTCTGAATTCAATACAAGTGCAATTATTCTGTCCCCATTCTCTATCAATTTTTACTTAGCATTTTTGCAGTAGTGTTAGCCTGCCGTCCGGCTACCCCGTGGCCGTAAAACCAACCGTCGCAGTACCAACAAAAACTAAATTAGTAAATAATTGAAGAGCCATATTGTGTTTGTAGATTAGACTAAAGTGCAGTGGCAAATTTCTTCAATTCATATTTCATTATAGATCATATCAGTGATGAAATGTGTATAACAGTATAAGTTTGTAACTTTATTTATTAAGTTCAATCATCATTTTTATGCAAACAGCAGGCATTACAGATTTAAAGAAAAATAAAGAAACAAAAGAAAATACTATAAAATTTGAGAAGCATCCAACTACATAATGTGTATCCATCAATACTGTATATATATTAGTGCTGAATACTATAAGTACATCATTATTTCCTTTAGTTTTCCAGGACTATATATAATGTCTGTAATAATTAACCCAAAACATGTATGGGAACATGTAAAGAAAAAAAAGAAGGAAATTAAAGATGTGAAAATTATATATATATAGTTTGATTAACACAAGTGATGCTTGCTCCAATTGTAGGTATGTATAAAAAGCATCAGTACAGTTTGGTAATCATACGATATATATGATGATGGGATCAAATTAAAGCATGGCAGGCAACAATGTCTGGGGTTGAAGAAGCAATCCCCATTTGCAACCACCCAGAAGCTGATCCTCCATCTAATTTCAAATCTTTTAGGTCACTTAGCTTTGGCGATTTCATCTTAGGTTTCTCATCAGCAAATTGAATGTTGTTTCGAGAATTTTGATGGTGATTGTGATGATTGGTGTTGGTCGTCCTCTTAGTATTAATACTACTGAATTCCTCGGTTCCCCATAGTTTGGAATTCATATAGCTTCTTGTTGGTGTCTCCGGCGGTTCAAATCTTGATTTTCCGGCGTTGGTTATGTCTCCGGCGGGTTTAGGTAGTAGAGGTGGGAAGTTGAGATCCAGCGGCGATGGGTGAGGAGGAGGAGTAGCCATGAACGCGGGGTTCTTGAAGATTAACGGCGGCGATTTGCTGTGATCGTATGCTGCGATTTCTTGGAAGTTTTGTATGAGAGTGGCCTCCGTCATCCCCGACGCTAGCCAATGGCAGCGTTTGTGGCCGCCCAGCGCCTGGCCGGAGGAGAAAATCCGGTGACAGATGGAACACTGATGCACCCTTGATCGCTTTCTGGAGAGCGCGGTGGCCGGCAGCGGCGGCGGAGGAGAGGGGAGAGAGTTATAATCGGAATGTTGGGGACCCACAGCCGCAGCACCACCGTCGTCTAAATAATATTCATTGTCGTTATTAACGTTGTCGAGCTTCGCAGCGTAGCAGCCTTTAACCTTCTTGTGACTCGCTCTATGTCCGCCCAATGCTTGGTGGGAATTGAACACTTTCTTACAAGCCTTACATTGGAACAACCCTTTGTTGTTGTTGTTCTTGTTGTTACTGTTATTGTTATTGTTATTGTTATTGATCTCCATTTCCTTAGCCTTGTTTCCCTCGTCCACCAAAACAAATGGTCCATTGGAGGACAACATGACCAGACAATTCGCCAGATCCTCCTCCTCTCGGGAGGGCATTGTCACTAGGCTCTTGTTATTATTATTATCATAATGACGATCTTGATCTCGATTACAGACAAACCGGTTAGTGTTGGTACGGAGGAAGTAAGAGTGCTTCTGCCCCTCCGCCGCCTTACTCCGGTAGCTCTTGACAACGTAATCATCTTCGAGGTGGTGCGGCTTGTCGGCGGCGGCGTGGTGGGAACGCATGTGGCCGCCGAGAGCTCCGGCGCAATGGAACCTCCGCTTGCACACCTTGCAGTAGTGGTGCGTGGCAGCCGAGGAGGACGAGGGGGTTTCGAATTCGTGTTGTTTTTGACTGTTTTCCACTTCCATTGTAATGATATGATGTTCAATCCACATAGAGGGCTGCAGGTAGCAGGAGATGAGACATTATGATATATAGATATAGTTAGTGAAATGAGCTTTTGGGTAGTCCTAGTTTTCAGTTGAAGTTTGCTGATTGTGGACGAGAGGGAGAGAGTGAGATAGATGCTGAGGATGAGTGCGTGCAAGACAGAGAGAGATCGGAATGGAGTGATGAGAGTGGGTGTATGACAAGTGTGAGGGTTAGTTAGATATGAGTAATGGTTGCCACACTATTTTGGCGCTCGTGCTTGTAGTATTGCCAATCGATTTTACCGACACGTTTAACATTACTAGGACAGACATAATGCAATGCTTGGACTAATTTGGAGCCAGCTGCCTTGTCTTAATTATATTGTCTTGCATTCCAAAATCTTTGTTAATTTGTGTTAATTAGTTCCACCCAAATTAAAGCATCACATCAGATAAGATCAGTAGGATGCATGCATGCAATGTAAGGACTTAATTAGATACATTATTTATTTTTACAAATTAATTTAAAGTTATTTTATGTTTCATATGGCATTAATTATATTGATAGGGGAAAGTTCGTTTTAATTAAACTTTATTAATATAGTGTAGCTAGTTTAAGAGAAAATGACCAAATAAGTCATTCAAGAGTCGTTATATCGTGGACCGCGGTGCACGGCGTCGTTTTTTTAAGTAAAAAAAGGGTGCGCCGTTACAGTTAATGGAGTGTGTATTTTTTGTGTATTAATTACCAACTGAAACTATAGTGTATCTAAACTGACACTGCTTCACGTACGTATTATTTTTATATTATCAAGTGAAACTGCAGTTGAAATGAAATGAAACTGTAGTTGTATTGAAATGAAACTGTTGTGTATACAAAATGAAATTGAATAACAATTTCACATATTTGAGTGTATATTACCTAGCGAAACTGTAGTTATCTCAAAATGATACTGTAGTTGTGTTGAAATGAAACTAGAGTGTATATAAAATGAAACTGAATAACATTTTGCATATTTGAGTATATATTGTGCAATAAAGTTGTAGTTATATCGAAATGATCATGTAGTTGTGTTTTAATGAAACTATAGTGTATATAAAATAAAATTAAATAACATTTTCACATATTTTAGTGTATAAATATCAAATGAAACTGTAGTTCCGTTGAACTGAAACTGCGGTGTATATATACAAAATAAAACTGAATAATAGAGTTACTTTTTGCGAAACGGCGGAAAACGAGTTTCGTTTCTTTCATTAAACAAAACGACGTTGTTTGAAGTTTGGTGCATAATCGATTATGCACCGTGGTGCACGATATAATTTGTCGTCATCCAACTACTGATATGATGAAATAACAATTTTATGCTTTCGACTTTAAAAAAAGTTCAAATAAATACTCAAAAATCACTCTCAATTAAATCCTTTTTTAAACCATTTTTTGCCCGTCACTTAATTGCACGCAACATCATCTTTATATTTATTAGTTTGGGATATAATAATATTTTGAAAATTTTGTCATCTTCTTCTTCCTATTTTGACAATTACAGCTAGCTCCTTCATCACCGTCACCATTATCAATCGATTTTACTGACAGACTAAGGTTCATGTTGATCGAGTTAATAATAAATACTATGACAAACATGGTTGGAGCTGACTTATTTTTTCTTGCATTGGAAAATGTTGTTGGAATTTAATTGTGTCAAAACCAGAGCATTGGTACAATGTAACAGAACTAAATTAGATTATTTATTCTTAAATTTTTTGATATTCCATATTACAGTGATAGAGCAAAGTTTTAATTAAATTTGACCAATATACAAAAAAATGGTCGAATTACCATTCAATTATTGATGAAGTTGTAATTAAACCATCAACTTTGTTTCAAATAAATACTCAAAATCAACAAAAAGTTCAGTTCAGTCATTTTTATTGTTGTTTTCTGTCACTTTCAGGTTAATTCACACATCATCTTTATATTTACTTATTTGGTATATAATAACTATTAATAATATTTTATTTTCATCTTTTCCCTTCTACTTATCATGCCACATCTCCTTCCCATTTTGCTAGTACCTACAAGCTTAGATCCTCAGTCACCGCCACCATTGCGAAGCCCGTTGCCTCTATTGTCAATTGTTATGCCGTGGAGTAGTGTATATCTTTACAAGGTGGACACGGTTCTATGTTTATAATTACTTAACTCTATATTTATAATTATAAAATTTTATGTTTATAATTTTTGAACTTCATATTCACAATTATTAAACTCTATCTTCACAATTACAGAAATTTATGTTCATAATTACTGAACTCTATGTTCATAATTATAAAACTCTATGTTCATAAATTTTGAACTTCATATTCAACTCTATATTTATAATTACAGAATTCTATGTTCATAATTTGTAAACTCTATATTCATAATTATGACAGTTTTAAAATTGTGTCTACCTTGCAAGGTAGACTCAATTCCATCATATAATTTGCCCTCTGCTGTTTTTGCTACCTAGTTGCCACTACCACTATCATTGCTCTTCATCTCCCTCTTCGTTTCCTGCCTTTTTCCAAACATGGAACAAGAAGGTGGTGGCTCGTCTGGGCGTCAGATTCTTAAACTGATTCATTTATTTTGTTATCTATTGTACCTCCTTGTATCCAATACTTGTCTCCTCTTTAATATATGAGTAAATATCCAAAATGATCTATCGACTATAGTTAAATTCACAAATTGGTTATCGACTTTTAATTTCAACCAATTAAGTCCTTAACTTTGCAATTTTAACACAATTTGGTCCTTTGTCTGTTTGACCGTTTGTTGACTGTGCTTTTTTAGGATATATATGTAACTTCATGGTCCATCGTCGGTTTTTTAAGGTTCCGATTGCATTTCTAGACCGCACTATTACATTTGAATCCACTGCCGGCGCTGCACCCCATGCCGGATAGATTATAGCTTTTGATAGATAGATCGCCGAAGTCCCTAGAGTGGCTCTTCGAGAAAGTCGTGACTCCAAGCCATGTAGGCAAGCTGAACCGGCTCGGAATCCCCAAGCAGCAAGCGGAGAAGCACTTCCCCCTCCGAAACGGCGCTGTCACTTCTAAGAGCGTTCTCTAAACTGAACCGGCTCGTGATCCCCAAGCAGCAAACGGAGAAGCACTTCCCCTCTTAAACAACGATGTCACCTCCAAGAGCGTTCTCTTGAGCTTTGCACGTGAAACTATATATATATCCTCAAAAATCGCAGTCAACAAACGGTCAAATAGATGGAGGACCAAATCGTGTCAAAATTGCAAAAGTTAAGGACTTAATTGGTTGAAATTGAAAGTCGATGACCAATTTGTGAGTTTAGTTATAGTCGAGGGACCATTTTGGGTATTTACTCTTAATATATTGATATGTTTTGGTTTAAAATAAAATAAAATAAAAAAATCAAAGTCAAACTTGATTACTTATGTTACTATTAGAAATCGTTCCAAACTTAGCTAAGTATTACATATCATGAGAAAACCTCAAGATTTCTTACTACAAGAATGTGATTAATTAGAAATTTAGTATTTCCTGTCGACAATAGCATTTTCAACTAACTTCTTGATCACTTTGATGATTCTAAAAACTTTTGTTATTACATACCATCACACATTTCTCTCCTCTCTATCTTTTATTTTCTTCTCCTCTTTTTACATAGAAGTAATTATTTTAAAAATTTTAAATTAACTATCAACATTTACTAACAACAAGAAAAATTGGTTAGAAATTATGTTTTTCTAAGATAATGAATTTTTTAACCATTTAAGGCTGTGGTTAAAATAGTTGAAAAATTCGCTAATCTATATTCATTTTTTTTTTTTTTTTTTTTTTTGGGTTTGGTTAGTAATTGGTAAATTTATAATGATATGTCACTGCTGGAAATCTCGCGTTTTCCGTCCAACAAATGTTGGACGGAAAACGCGGTATATTGGTCGGAAACGACGTTTCCATCCAACATACCGACCAAAAGGAACGTTCGGAAAAACCTCCGTGGGAAATTTCGTCCAACTACGACTTTTGGTCGGAAATAGCGTCCAACGAACAACAATTGGACGGAAATTCCGGCAAGTACCCCACCATTTTTAAAACGTGGGAATTTCCATCCAACCTTGTGCGTTGGTCGGAAATTCCGTCCAATTATGTGCGTTGGTCAGAAATTCCAACCAATGTTGGACAGAAAATTCACATATTATATTTTGTAATTTTCCTTCCAACTGTTGGTAGGAAAATCTTAAATCATATGGAATGTTTTTATTATTTTTATATTACCAAAATTTTATTTATATCTATTGTAAATAAATTATATGTCATCAACAAATTATTGGACACACTAAATTTCAAATTGAAAATATATTTAAACATCAAAATTCTTTACAACAAAAATTATTGTCATGTTCATAAAAAAAAAGTCATGAAAATATTACTACTTAATTGATACTACTTAAGTATGCTGCACCCAAATAAGCCTTCAAATCCGGCACTACTTCAATAGCTTTGATCAATGCAGCATCCACAACCTTCTTCTTCAATGACTTTGATCAAATGTAGACCTTCACCAAAATTAGACCATGATAGATTTCAAAATGCAAAAATCATACAGAAAACATAAACAACACTTGGAAAAACAAACTTAGAAGTATTTTCTCTCTTGCAACTGCAAATGATCCAGCATCAACAAAATCATCATAAGCAACCTGAGATAAACATTTCATCAAGTATTATTTGCAATGATAAGAGAACTAATGGATACAACATCAGCATAAGAGAACTAACTTGTATATATATATATATATATATATATATATATATATATATATATATATATTCTAATAATATTACATTCAATTCATTCATCAATAATAATATATCCTAATTAACTAATAACCATACATAATAATCCATAAATATAGATAAATAATGGTGATTTAGAAACAATTACTTATCCAAGCCTACTTACAGTTGAGGAATGTCACCCTGGTCTATCAGCAGGATCTAAGACAGCAGATTCTAACATCTTACTGCACATTAATATTGCTTATTCACCTAACACCCCTTCTATATAGGCAAATTAACCCCAGACTTATCCATGCATAATCACTTCAACAATAATGATAGAAAGTTACCTCTTGTGTACTAAATATGAAGGTTTGTCAAACTTTAGTAGTTTAGTATACAAGACCTACAAAGAGAAAGAAAGATGGATTATCATATGTATAGAATGATAAGACCACATAAATATATGCATATAGAGAGAGAAAGAGGAGGATATATAGAGAGATTAATCTTAGGAATGAAATTGTATGCAGAACTAAACAAAACTCTGTATGCAGTGGAAGAGAAAGCTACATAATGCATAAATTGTAATTATTTGTATTCCCCGTTTAAGTGCATCCTAACTTTAAATTTATTTTGTTGATGATGCTCAGCAAAAGCAAATGCATATGCAGTTGGGAGTGGTTTGCCCTGTAACTGCAAAATGCAATAGTAGGGACAGTCACTACAAATTAGATATTGTAACCTCCAACAGTAGAAAATTGTCAAAACCCAAAAAGAAAGGGCAAAAAAATCATGGAATGAAAAATATTTCTTGAATCCCTAAACTTCCCAATAAGAGTGGCTTGGTTTTTTCAAAATGAAAAATATACCTTTATAGGAGAAGAGGCTTTCAAGGGAAACAAGATAATGAGTAAAATACAGATGAACAGCTACCTTGAAAGTAACAATAAATCATTATGCAATATTGATTCCACATCTGCACATATAATCGTTAGCAGGTGAAAACCATTGAGTTCATTGCATTCTGCTACAATAGCCTGAGTCCACTTTGTTTCTATAATGCCCAAAAGAATACATATAACAAACATATAGAGGTAGATTTTCCTGATGTGTAGTCGAATTAGGAGGAAAGAATAACAGAAAGAAATAAGAAACTCTTTCTTATTGAATAGTGTGCCTGCAAACCATGACTAGAATCCAGGTTTAATATAATCATAATTAACATCAAGAAGTCCGCTTTCAAGTAAGGTGGGAATAACAACCTTCTAGAATAAAATCATCATTCTCTCTAATGCCAATCAATAAATAGCTCCACATTTGGACATTCATATTTAGACATATACGAAAAAGAACTTCCATTGCACCAATTACAACTCTTAGCCACAATAGGCAAAGTCAAAACTAGCAATTTAAACAACAATTTGGTCTATTTCCTCTCTACCTCTCACACCTATAATCACCAATCTCAAAATCAGCTCCACTAACAAGGAAACAGAGAAAGCAAACCTAAATTAGAGCCGATGGCGGCGGCGGAGGTTGGTGTGGCGGTGGGCTATGGCGGCTGTGGCTATGGCTGGGCAGCGGAGAAGGGGCGGTGTGACGGTGGTTGTGCTAAAAATGGTTAGAGCTCCTTCTCGATCTTCAATATGTAGTCTCGAACGGCATTGACATATATAAACTTTAAATTTAAAACTGAAATTACAATTTGAGTAGTTAAATAAATGAAAGACAGCAACCGCACATACCTGAGGAAGCGCAGCAACGCCGGAGCTGGTGCCGTCGCCGCTGCTCACGCCGCCAATATTTCCATCAAACACTGCCGCTGCTGATGCCACTTTCGTAGACTATAGAGAGAGGATTTCAAGCCGTCATCGTCATCGATCGCTGGAGTCTGGAGATACCCGCCTTCGTCGATGTGAGAGAGGAGTCCAACTTGCCGCCGTCGTCAATCGCCAGAGCTTAGAGATAGAGAAGAGCTTAGATCTGTGTTTGGAGGATACTATACGTCTAGGGTTTTATTTTTATTTATTTCCTAAATTTCCGTTCAATAATATGTTGGTCGGAAATTAAAATTCTTACCATTTTTAATTTCTACCTATTAATCAATTTGAGTTTACCAATCAACACTACAGGTTGAACAGAATTTTCTTCCAACATTGGATGTTGAACGGATTTTCCGTCCAACGCGCAAATGTTGGACGGAACTTTCGACCAACTTTCCGTCCATTCTTCTTTTGCGATAGAAAGTTGAATTTTTTATTAAAATACCGACCAATTTACGGTTGGACGGAAATGTTGGACGGAAATAGCGAGATTTCCAGCAGTGTGTACTCATCTCAAGCCTATTTAACAGTATCCAAATTCACTCCAAATTCAAGTTTAGAAAAATAAGATAAATAAATAAATAAAAATAATATTATTTTTGTAATTATTACAAACTCTGCTGGTGTTAGAAAATGTTTAATAATGCATTCACTCATAACTAAAAGAGAACATAAATACACTATCAATAATTTGCAGATGCACTATCAATCTTTTAGTAAAATTAGCTAAAATTATATACTTTTTTTTTTTCCTTTCTAGCAATAAGCTTATTACTTCCTCCGTCCTATTTTATGTGTTGGGATTCAGTTAACGAGTTTTGATATATAGAAGTTAATTACTCCGTACAATTTAATTTTTCATAATGTTAAGTTTAAAATTAATATGTAAAATTTTTATATTTAAAAATTACACTAAAAATATCATTAAACACGAAAAATTAAATTTAAAAATTATAAAATACTAATAGAAATAATCAAAAGAAGAAAGAGTTTATTGATCCATTAATAATAAGTATGACAACATAAAATGAGACAGATAGATAGAGTATTTATATATTGCTATCATGAGAGTATGATCTAATTATCATAGTTGCAAAGATATGCAAAGATCCGTTTACCTTGAATCAACCAAGAAACACCTTACTGCACTGGTAAACAGAGACCAGAATAGGCATCTCTTATCCAAGAACATTTGCAGCAGTAATATTCCCCTGGAAAATCACTTCAAATTATGGTCCAGAGTTATTCCTAGCCTGGCGCAAGGTGGGTTCGGATCTGAAACTGCCTTACTCGAAGCGTCTGAGATACAGAAATCTGGTTCCGAGCCTACTATTCATACCCTCGTGCACTTGATCCGAGGATGTGCCAACTTGGGTCGGTTTTCGCATGGAGAACAGCTTCATTGCCATGTTCTGAAATCTGGGTATGTTTCCGATGTCTTTGTTTCCACTTCCTTGATCAATCTCTATGTGAAGTTTGAGGCTGTCGGCGATGCTCACAAACTGTTTGTTGAAATTCCTGATCCAAGTGTAGTTTCTTGGAATACGTTGATTTCTGGGTATGTGCGTTGTGGGAAGTTTAATAAAGCTCTGAACTTTTTTGTTCAGCTAGAAAGATCTGGTGTTTGTGCAGATACCTATTCGTTTACAGCTGCTCTATCTGCTTGTGGGCAGCCGAGTTTGCTGCATTTTGGGGAGTCAATACATTCCAAGATCGTGAGACTAGGTGTGGAGTGTAGTGTAGTTGTTGGAAATTCTTTGATTGACATGTATGGAAAATGTGGGTGTGCAAAAGAGTCAATTAGGGTGTTCAATGGTATGATTGATAGGGATACAATTTCTTGGAATTCAGTTATAGCAGCGAATGCTCGAAATGGGAGACTAGAACAAGCCTTCAGGTTTCTGCATCAAATGCCTGATCCCGATACGATTTCATATAATGAGCTAATTAGTGGGATTGCACAGTTCGGTGAGATAGAATCTGCCATTGATCTTTTATCAAGAATCCCCAACCCAAACTCGTCTTCATGGAATTCCATAATAACATGGTATGTAAATCGAGGCAGAGCACGCGAAGCACTAGAGTTTTTCCGTAAAATGCATTTTAGTGGCATTCAAATGGATCAATTCACATTTTCAAGCATTTTGAGTGGCACTGCTAATGTTGCAGATATCACATGGGGAAGATTGATCCATTGTTGTACTGTGAAGCATGGGCTCGACAGAAGTATAGTCGTTGGAAGTGCTCTTATTGATATGTATTCAAAATGCGGAAAAGTGAACCAAGCCGAGGTGTTGTTTGAGACACTGTCTAGAAAGAATCTGGTGACATGGAATGCTATGATATCGGGACATGCCCACAATGGCAATTCAATTAAGGTGCTTAGGCTATTCGAGCAGCTGAAGATGGTAACAGATTTTCAGCCCGACGGAATCACCTTCCTCAATGTCTTGGCAGCATGTTGGCACAATAAGATGCCATTGCAGGTTGCAAATGGATACTTGGAGTCGATGATCAAGGACTATGGGATCTCTCCCACTGCCGAGCACTGTTCTTCTATGATAAGGCTCATGGGACAGGAAGGAGAGGTGAGTGGCGCAGAGAAGATGATAAAAGAGTTGGGATTTGAGAAGTGTGCATTGGTTTGGAGGGCTCTGCTGGGAGCTTGTGTCACTTGTGGGGATATAAAAGTTGCACAAGTGGCAGCTGAAAAGGTGATAGGATTGGAAGGCCACAACGTTGATTTTGTTTACGTATTGTTGTCTAACGTTTACGCCTCTCATGAAAAGTGGAAAGAAGTTAAGGGCACGAGAACACTGATGAAGGAAAGAGGAGTAATGAAAGCGTCCGGTCATAGTTGGATTGAGGTAAACTGAAAAGACTATTACTATTACTATTACACGACTGCTGGTCAGAATATAAAATTTTACATTCAATATCCATACAAATTTGAACAGCAGCAAGGTGCAGATCGAATTCTTTTAACTTGTATTTTGGTATTGCTTTAGAGTTTAGTCTAGTGGGAAGTTAACCAAATGATTTTGACATATATATCTGCTTGAATCATAAAAGAAAATTGTCATAGTAAGGTAACAGTCAAACCGAATTGGCGAATTATCTTAATTTGTAAATCAAGTTTAGGGTCCGTTTGGAAAGTAGGAAAATGACTTTTGGAAAATGTTTTTCGAAAAATAACTCATTTTTCAGAAAACATTTTCCTTTCCAGTGTTTGGTTGCATTCTGGAAAATATAGGAATGGATGGAAACGGAGGAATCGAAGGCAACGGTGGCAGCGAAGGCAACCATGTTTTGAGTGTTGGCGGAAAATGACTTACGCCCAAATTATGGCGTAAGTCATTTTTCGCAAAAATGCCTACATTTTTTGTTGACTGAGTTTTCCTACTGCATCCAAACACTGAAAACTCGGAAAACATTTTTCAGAAGTCATTTTCCAGTTGTTTGAACATATTTTGCCGGAATAATAGTGGGAATCCTGGCCGGCGCAGGGACATCAAACTTTCCGACGGAATAAAGTATTATGCTTTAAGAAGTATGCATTTGGTTTATGCTTTATCCATTACTGTATACGGAATCTGTTGTGGACGATCAAAACAAATGCAAATAACTAAATTTGTGTATTTCATTTGCCTATTATCAGTTTTATTAAGAATTCTGCTTGTTACCATTTTAGCATCTCATTCTATACTGTTGTCCTTTCGGACTAAAGATATTCTGCTATTCCTGCTTCCAACATCCATAATTAACGTGATTTATAAAAAAGTGAAAAAATTTCATTACTATGTAAAGAATGTATGTTGTTTTGTTTTGAGTATATATGTATGTATCTATACAGATTTCAATCAAACTAATTCCAGAAAACTATCCTAAGTGTGAAAAGAGAACCTAATTAAGAAGCCCATACAGTCTTAGCTCACTGGTTCAGTAGACAGTTTTTGAGAGAAGAGATCACTTGACAGCGACAGTGTGGGATCATGTTTAAAAGTTGACAGATCCATTGTGCACACTATCATTCATGTCTGTTGAGTCATTAAGTTAGGGCAAAGATCTTTTGAGATTGGAGATTTAATCCTTAAGAAATTATAAAAAGTAAGACGACCAAGATAGTGGTCCACTTTAAGGATTTTTGTGGAATGGCGTTACGCCAGGCGGAGGAAATATCGGACGACAATAAAGAACTGTACTTGAAATTGGGGTTGGAGCCGTATAAGGCTTGGATCCCTTCCACGTCATCAACCCGAAGACCCACTTTCTTAGTTCTGGGGCTCAAACTCGGGTACATGATGGCTTCTTTGACTGAGGAGTGGGCCAGCCCCAGAATATGTCCGATTTCATGCGTCGCCACCGATTCCAAGTCCACCGCCGCCTTTGCCTTTTGTTGATCGAAGTCAACTGCCCAGGTCTCGGCGGCGTCCAGGTGGAACCTCCCGTTCTCCGGCGAGAAGGCGTGGGCGAGTATCCCCAGAACCCCGTCGAACGGCTCCCCGTCGCCGTGGTTGCCGTTGTAGAACCCTATCTTGATGTCCGCCGAAGGGTAGTCGTCCGCCTCCGTGAAGTTCACCGGGATCGCCGCGGACCACCGCGAGAACGCCTTCCGGAACACCGACTTTATCTCCGGCATGGGTATGTAGTCGATCATGTTGTCCGGCGAGAACGCGTACGTCAGCAACCTCGCCGACGGCGACCCCCTCCACCGCGGTTTCCCGTAAAAGTAGGCGAAGTTCTTCGTGCCATTCAGCGTACGCGGCGCAGCGCGATCGTCGCTGTTGCCGCACCTCGGAAGCATGATTTCCTTCACGGTATCGGAGTCGAGCTTCCCCGTCGCCGTCAACCCAAGATTCTTCTGGAAGCGGAGAACCGCAGACTCCAACTCCTCGTCAAATAAATCGGTGAAATTCAGTTTCCTCTCCGAAAGGTATCCAAAACGATTAAAGTACTTCTTGAGCTCCGACATGCCAGCAACCTCGCTCCCCTTTCCGAGGTCGAGGAAGTTGATGAATCCCCGCCAGTTGTCGTCATGGATGTCGACGACGGTTAATTCAGTTGACGGGTCGGGGATTTTTCTGGCGGGAAATAAGCAAGGGAGTTGAAGGAGGAGAAAGAAGATGGCCAAAAAGGTGTCAATATATCTGACAAAACGAAGCATTTGGTTATGTTAGTTAATGAGTTTGAAATAAGATTCGAATTGAAGCTTTTGGGACGACTAGGGGCCGGGGTGC